CTGTTATAGTTGCTGACATCGAAGAGGATGTTATATTAGGAATGGACGTAATGAATACGCATGGATTCCAATTGGATTTTAAAAATAAAGTAATCAAAGTTGGTAACGAGGAGGTATTTCTCCATCCACATGATGACAACACTATGCAAGCAGCCGTTAAAGAAGATACAGTCGTGCCTGCGAGAAGTGAAACAATCATAGTAGCGCGGCTACAGGGAATTGTGGACGAAGGGTCACCTGTTATGATGGAGCCTTGGAACCATGACGACGAAGTTGCCGTGGAATCATAATTGGAAAGGAATTGGTGACCTCGGCTAAAGAAATTCCTGTTAGACTTATCAATGTCAATGACTACCCAGTGACCATCAAGAAAGAGACAAAAGTAGGAACTTGTGTACCTGTGACATCCATAATCCGTCAGACGACAACGTCTGATAATTCCAACGACAAATTTGATCAAATGGTTTTGCAGTTGCTGGACAGTCTCTGAATCAGATTGAGAAAAGGAAATTAAGGGAATTTCTTCGGCAGTATCGTGATATTTTCGTACCGAAAGGAGGAAAGACGGGAAGAACTACCGCTGTTAAGCATAGAATTGATACTGGTAATGCTAAGCCAATTCGTCAAACAGCTCGACGATTACCACAGGCGAAAAGAGAGGAAGCTGAAACGATTGTTCAGGAAATGAAGAAAGACGGGGTGATAGAACCTTCTACGAGCCCATGGGTCTCTCCGGTAGTCCTGGTTAAGAAGAAAGACGGAACAACGAGGTTCTGTGTGGATTACCGTTTGCTGAACAACGTTACCAAGAAAGATAGTTATCCCTCTGCCTCGGATTGATGACACATTAGACACATTGGCTGGAAGTAAATTATTTTCTACTTTGGATTTGAAGTCTGGATACTGGCAGGTAGAAATGGACCCGGTAGATAAAGAAAAGACAGCCTTCACCACAGGATCTGGATTATGGCAATTCAACGTTATGCCATTTGGTCTTTTGTAACGCTCCTGCGACATTTGAGAGACTTATGGAAAATGTTTTGAGAGGGTTATCTTGGAAAACGTGCCTAGTTTATCTAGACGACATAATCGTCTTGGGGGAGACATTTGAGGACATCTGAAGAATTTAGAAAACGTTTTTAATCGACTTAAAGCTGCCCAATTGATGTTAAAACCCCAAGAAGTGCCAGCTATTTCAAGGTAAAGTCAATTATCTTGGTCAATAGTCAGTAAAGAAGGAGTGGCCGTGGATAAGGAAAAATCGATTCCATTAAGGAATGGCCAAAACCAACTGACAAACATCAAGTGAGAAGTTTTCTTGGACAATGTACTTATTACCGGAGGTTTATTGAGAAGTTTGCAGATATCGCTAAACCATTAACGCGACTTACAGAGGAAGTCAAGATAATACCGCTGGGGATGTAGACTGCCAAAATGCCTTTGAGACCTTAAAAAAAAGCATTTAATCACAGCAACCGATTTTAGGGTATCCACTGCCAGAAGGAGAGTTCATCTTAGATACAGATGCAAGTAATGTGGGAATTGGAGAGTGCTGTCCCAGATTCAGGGAGGACAGGAAAGAGTCCTTGGATATTTCAGTAAAGTTCTCTTCAAAACCTGAGCGGAATAATTGCGTCCCCGAGAAGAGACTTCTGGCAGTAGTGAAATCAGTAGAGCACTTCTATCAATACCTCTATGGAAGGAAGTTTTTTAATCCGAACCGACCATGCCGCCCTTAAGTGGTTGTATGCAGTTTAAGAATCCAGAGGGTCAGATAGCCAGGTGTGATCGAACGACTCCAAGAATATGATTTTAAGATTGAGCACCCGGGCCGGAGTTAGCCACCGAAACGCTGATTCTCTTTTCAGAAGGCCATGCCCAGCAGAGTGTTCTCACTGCAACAAAAAACGGAATTAAAGGAAGCAGCAGTGCTAAGAACGACGGTGTCCACGACGACTGGACGCCTACCAAGATCAGGGAAGAACAAGAGAGAGATCCAGTTATACAGAAAATCCGAAAATGGAAAGAAGAAAACCGTCGACCACCTTGGCAAGAAAAATCGAACCTAGGCTCAATAGTTAAGACGTATTGGGCCCAGTGGGACTCATTTATCATGGAAGATGGCTTGCTCAAACGAGTCCTGGAAAATGATGACGGTTCAGAGAAGAGAAGACAGTTGGTGATTCCAAAGAGCAGAATAGCCGAAGTACTTTCCGTCATGTTACACGACAGTCCATCAGGAGGGCATTTTGGTGTGAAAAAGACCCTTCAGCGAATTCGGGAACGGTATTATTGGATGAACAGTTCCGACGATGTAAAAGACTGGTGTAAGAAATGTACTATTTGTGCTACGAGTAACGGCCTTATCGAAAAAGGAGAGCTCCTATGAGACAATATAATGTTGGAAGCCCGTTTGAAAGAATAGCTTTGGACATTGCTGGGCCATTTCCAGAAAGTGATAATGGAGGCAAGTACATGTTGGTAGTAATGGATTACTTCACTAAGTGGGTTGAGATTTACGCACTTCCAGACCAGAAGGCCGCCCACCGTTGCAGATAAGTTGATCCAAGAATATATCAGCCGATTTGGAGTGCCTTTGGAGATCCATAGTGACCAAGGGCAGGAACTTCGAAAGCGATTTATTCCAATGAATATGTGATAGACTAGGTATGAAGAAAACAAGAACTACGGCTTATCATCCCGCAATCGGATGGTAATGGGGTAGAACGAATGAATAGAACAGTTGGCAAGTATTTGACAAAGATGGTATCCGATCATCAGCGAGACTGGGACCAATAGCAGGTGAAGATTATGTGATCGAATTACGAAGAAGAATGGACGATGTACACGAGTTGGTCCGTTCCCATCTCCAAATCGCTAGTGACCGAATGAAGAAACGGTACGATACACAAGCCGAAAAGGGGTGTTTTAAGAAGAACGATAAGTCTGGCTTTATAACCCCAAAAAGCGAAAAGGTTGTTTCTCCCAAATTGCAGCAGTTTTGGGAAGGTCCATACCTCATTATGGAGAAGATCAATGATGTTATTTACCGAATAAGCAAGATTCCGAGAGGAAAGCCGATGATAGTACACCATAACCGGTTGGCGTCTTTCGAGGGTGACCACGACGTAGATGAAGAAGTGGAAGTAAACCAAGTCCAAGATGTGTCTGACCTCACGTTTGAGGAATTCATGGGTGCCTATGGAGGTACCGGTAAAGCAAGACATGGGGTTACCACTGAAGAAAAAGGCAAGATCTACTCGCGCTTCCCGATGACTACTCACTGGCCCTTACCATCCCGGCCAGTATCAAAGATGCACCAGGGTTGGCATCCGTCTTTCGAAGGAAGTTTGGTCGAGTTGCAGAACTTCAATGCCAAGTGCCAGCTCCTGGTAAACCTTGAAACTTCAAGATGCATCACGTTACCTTTTCTACCTGGTAAACAAAAGACACTGCCCGTGACCAACCTACCTACCGAGATGTATGGGAAGCCTTACTTCAGTTGAGAGAGCACGTACTAGAGTCCGACGTGCAAAAGTTAGCCATGCCAAAGTTGGAGTGCCGCCAATTAGATTGGAGGGTTATACGAAACATGGTGGAGGAAATCTTTAAAGACACCGAAGTCCAGGTGTTAGTCTGTTGCAATCCGCATAGTTACTGCTGCGGAGAGAAAAACCGTCCCTTGTCATTTCTATACAACTGGAAGTTGTAAAAGAGGGTCCAGTTGCCGATATCAGCATGTCGTTCAAGTTCCAGTCCCGACAAGGTTCCAGGAGGAACCATCTTTTAAGAGGGGGGCAATGTTACGATTTTAAATGTTATGGCATATAGAACTGTAAATATTTTATGACTAATTCTTTTTTATTGATTCTCGTAATTTGTAGGTCAAAATATACCTGAGCTTCGCTACCAGTTGTTTACAGAAATCTCTAGACACTAATTTTAGTGAGTCATCCACGTCTCGAGGTTGAAAAACGAGTCGAGCGCCTTCACCAAAATACGAGATTATTCAGGAAGTTTGCCGAAAGTTCCAGATGACAACAGTTGTGTATATAAATGAAAGATTGTTGTATTTGAGGCAGTCATAAGAAGATCGGTAAACGCGATATTTAAATGTAACGAAACGTGAAATAAATACATTTGTAAAGTTATTTAATAAATTAGTAATTAGCTATCGTGAATTTTAATAAATTAGAATATAGACAATAAATTAGAATAAAGACAAATAAATTAGAACTAAATAAACTTCACAATATATATAAATATATTATATATATATATATATTATATATATATATATATAATAAACAAAACAGAAAATAAACTACAATTAAAATTTATTTTACATTAAGTCAAAACTCTACTAGATTTTATGGCGTTTACCAGCCATATAATCAGTAGGTATTACAAAAGTTCAAATAAAAACAAAATCATATGTTACAACTTCTCTGCAGACCAAATTTAAATAAAGACATTTGTTCGACATAAAAAAATGAAATATAAGACAACCCAGGTAAAACTTTAGTCAAGAAAAGTTACAAGGAAAATGCCTAACCTTGAGTGACTCAAGAAGAAACTTTTACTATGGTTTTATATGGCTACCATAGAAATAATAAATAAATATAGAATCATCCATAATAATCCTAAAACAATAACAGACAAATCTTGGCAAATACAATGAATAATTATTATGTATTTATATTTAGCAACATTAGAAATCAATTACGTGAAGAAAGTAAAACTAAATATCTGGAGATCATTGTTACTCCCAAAATCGTTGTTTAAATAGGAAACAATTTTCAAATTTAAGTTAATTATGATGAAAGTTGAATGTAGTGGTCCTATGATGACATATTATAATGTTACTCAAGATTTGAAACTAAGTTAGTAGAAATAAAAAAGTATCGATTACTGTTGATACCAATATTTTAAAATCGATTTTATGTAAGACTTTACAGACCATTACCAAAAAATGACAATTATTAATTATATAAACTTACCTAATAACTATGAACTGCAAAAATATCATCACTCCCGATGCCGTATACATTTTTAAATAAGTTTTCACAATTGCTGACTTTAAACTGGGTTTATTTTTATTTTGGCTTTGATCACATTTCTTGATTTGTTCTTCCCAATTTCTGAAATCAAGATAAGTCTTTTAATATCATTTTAAACAAATTATTGTTCAATAGCGTTCTAAAGAGCGAATTGAATGCAGAGAATGTACCACTAAGAAAGTTAGCACAAAAGGGAGAACCAGCTAGAAAGAGTAGTTTCAACGTTGCACTAGAAAGTGTAATTAATCAACTCACCTAAGAGAAACGAAAATATCCGAGAAAATTAGCCAAAGGTGCAATTTTCATTGATGACTAAGACAGTTCATTGAAAAATATTTTAAGATATGACCATACGTTCATATGGTACTTTGACTTTTGAATAAAGTACTTTGACAAGGTTTGTGGTAAGTACTAAATAAAAAATAAGTTTCAGTATGTGAAAAATATGTATGACCGTACTTACTAATATGTATTAGGAAATGTATATATATATATATATATATATATATATATATATATATATATATATATATATATATATACAGGGTGTTTCAAAAAAAGGTAACCCCGTCTCTAGGGTAGGTAAAAAACTGAAAAATAATTGGGGTTGGCTTAGTAAAAAATTTTTGTAACGCCATCCGTTTTCAAGATACAGGGCGTTGAAGAAAAAAAAAATTACGCATTTCTTACGATTTTGCCGAAACTACTGGCAACATTGTAATGAAATTTTATACGAATATGTTTTGGAAGCTGATACATCTCATGAATTTGTTTTTATATCTGATTCTCATAGAGGGCGCTAGTTACACGGATCATACTAAGTATTAGTCATTATAACTTTTTTAAGAGTATAATTATTAATCAAAATTTCAAGTAAACTTAAACATCATTCAATTTTTCACGAAAAAGGTACTCTTGGTAAAACTCGATACTGTGTACCGTTTTCGGAATATTTTGATTTAAAAATTATGGAGTAATAATTGATGCTGGTAGTAATCATAAAGTTCTAATAGAAATACCTCTATTTTCTCCAAGTGTGCCATAGAAATTTGACATTTATTGATTATTATGACGATAAATCAACAATAATTGGAGTTTTGCAACCTTGTTATTTGTAAAATCAAATCAAAATGTATCCAAATGTTGAATACACTGACATGTTATTAACCTTAGGCGAATGTTCTAGTGCAGTTGTGACACGTTAAGCAGAAAAGTTACCAAGTAAAAAAACATTTAGAGCGTTGAACGATGTTGTCGAGAAACTGGGAATGTGAGACCAAATAAAATAAATTTTGGTAGACCAAGAACAACAAGAACAATTAATAAAGAAAATATATTTTAAATTTACTTGACCAAGATCCAACAGTTAGCGAAAGGAATATAGCAAGACAAACAAATACTTCTTCTTCAAGTACTTATCGGATACTGAAAGAACAGTAATTACATCCTTATCATTACAGACAAGTCCAAGAGCTCTTGCCAGATGATCTACCGGTTAGAGTGGATTTTTGTGAAACATTGCAACAAAGGACAGTCCACAATCCAAATTTTTTAAAATGCATTCTTTTTACGGACGAGGCCACTTTTACGCGACAAGGTATGTTTAACTCGGACTACGCAGTTTGTTCGTATATTAAGGAAAAAAGTCTATGCTACAGAGGTAAATTCACGCCAAGAATTGGAAGAAAGAATTCAACGTCAATTTAATGACATCATAGATGATCCTTTACCGTTTAGAAGGTTAATGAATCTTTAGAAAAAAAGAATAGACTTGTATATTCGCGAAAACGGAGGGCATTTTGAACACTTACTGTAATCGAATTTTATTTTATGTTCTTCTTCATTAATTTAATTTTCTTCTTGTGAATTTTGTTTAATTACTAACTATTTTATACCAGCATCAATTATTACTTCATAATAATTTTCAAATCAAAATATTTCGAAAACTGTACACAGCATCGAGTTTTACCAAGAGTACCTTTTTCGTGTAAAATTGAATGATGTTTAAGTTTACTTGAAATGTTGATTAATAATTATACTCTTAACAAAGTTATATTGAATAATACTTAGTACGATCCGTGTAACTAGCGCCCTCTATGAGAATAAGATATAAAAACAAATTCATGGGATGTATCAGCTTCCAAAACATATTCGTATAAAATTTCATTACAATGTTGCCAGTAGTTTCGGCAAAATCGTAAAAAATACGTAAATTTTTTTTTACTTTAACGCCCTGTATCTTGAAAACGGATGGCGTTACAAACATTTTTTACTAAGCAAAACCCCAATTATTTTTCAGTGTTTTACCTACCCTAGAGACGGGGGTTACCTTTTTTTGAAACACCCTGTATATATATACATATATATATATATATATATATATTATATATATATATATATATATATATATATATATATATATATATATCATATATATATTATATATACATATATATATATACATATATATATATATATATATATATATATATATATATATATATATATATATATATATACATACATATATATATATATATTTATATATATATATATATATATATATATATTTATATATATATATATATATATATATACAGTAGACTCGCGATTATCCGAGGTAATTGGGACCGTGACTACCTCGGATACCGAACCGAACGAACTCGGTCACTGAGATTGGTTATACTGATAGAAAAATGTGTACCTATGTTAATAATGATTAATGTGTTTATTTTTAATAACTAAAAACTAATATAAAAGTAGTATAAAAGATAAAAAAAATTAATTTATAAATATTTAAAAAAGTCTTTGATTGATTTTTGTTTCAACTTCATTCCTCTTTTTGGGCGGCGATGTTGCGCCAACGTTGAAAATGAAGGACGTCTAATAGTGTTGATTCTTCTTGTTGCTCAATGTATACGAGAGCTGCTTCAAGGGACTTAAATCCTTCGGAATGAGAAATCTTTAGAGTTATCCCATCTGTATCTTCTTCTTCTTCTTCATCATGTGTGACGTTTAGACCTAGATTGGCAATTGCATCATCTGTCAGTTCCACTTCTTCATCTAGATTCATCCAATCGATGATGTCTTGGTTTACGATTGTTTGTTCTACTGGCAATCGATTGGCTAGGTGGGCTATAGAATCAACTTTACAGTCATCAGTTTCATTTTGAACGTCTTGTGTTTTGTTGTCTATCTTAAATAATTTTTTCCACAACTTCTGAGTAGTGGACATTTTTACGTCGTCCCAGGCAGATGCAATCCAATAGCAAACATCTTTAACGGTGATCTTCTTCAATCCCTCAATTACAGTCAGCCTTTCATTCAGTTTATAGTTAGAAGTTCCTGAAGAAGCTTCCGCCGATAATTCCTCTTCATTCCTTATATAACGTTTTGGTCTAGGGTGGAAGGAACACAGCTTGTATGACACCACTAATCAATTCCCTCGCATCTGGGTGGGATCGTGCGTTGTCCAACAACAACAAAGCTTTTTGGGCTAATCCACTACCACCACTCACACTTCGGTTTAACCACTGTTCGATTTCATTCTACTTACGCTTGCAATATCCAACAGTTACTTCTCCGACATCTAAATCTGAAGAAACCTTCTTTATTGATTCAGCCTTGTCCAACCTCTTAATTGTATTCACTTTTGTTTCCAAAGGTGCAATTACTCTCTTCCGCTTTCCACTCATATTGCACAGAAAGATTCTCTCTTACATTCACAAAAATCAACTTATGAAAAATTAATTATGAAACCGAAACTAATAACTGGAATAAATTCACAAAACAGTACATAAAAGGAAAAATAGTACCGTACAAATACGTAATTTGACGATCTGAACGACAGCAAACAAATCGGTAGTTCAATTCACATTGATTAACATAGAAAGGAACAGGAAGTTGTAGACAAAACACCACACAGAAATTTCTGCGCATGAAATCTCTTTCACATCAGCTTGACCTAAAGCATACCTTACAAATAATTCTCTTCTTATCAATAATCCAAAATTTTCAATTGATTGCCCATATTACAGCTGCCGATATAACTTCTGACCATCGACCCTTTTTTATTACTCGATATTGTGATTCAACAAGTACGACTATAAAGGTAAAACCAAGGCAAAAATTTTGCCTCGGTTAAGTCAGGGGTTCGGATAACCTAGACTGGGATAATCGCGAGTCTACTACATACAGGGTGGTCCTTAAGTAATTGTACAAAAAGAAACCGCAGATTCTATACTTTAAAATATTACGATTTAAGCCAACTTGCTTTAATAAAATGTTGATATTAAAAAAGATACAGGGTGTTAAAGTGGAAATTTAAAATTTTATTTTTCGCTATAACTTTCATGTTTGTAAACATTATAATACAAAAATTTACAGCTGGATACTATTTAATATCTGGAATTATAATTTGATGAATACTTTGATATAGCTAATAGAGGGCGCCACATATGCCACATACGTGGCATAAATTTGCACTTAACTTTTTTGTTCTTTAAGCTAACGGTATTTAAGCTACATTATTTTAACAAAAAAAAAGGTATACTTGTTAATAACTTCAAAACTCAACAGTTTTCGAGATAATCGCATTTTACAAATCAACTGCATAATTCTGATTTAACGCAATTACTCCAGGCAATGAAAGAAAAATAGATAAAAACATCAATACCTCTGAATTTTGTTATAAAATACTTTAATAAAGTCAATAATTAACGAAATATTAAATAAAATAAATATATCAGCAGGATAATTAATAATAGGAGTTGATAAAATAACAGAATAATTGGATTTTACTTTAAACATTTTATTTTAATTTGTATTAAAGTCATAATCAAAACAAACCAAATTAAGAAATAGTTAAACTAAATAACATTAAACTTTTTGTCAAAGTAAGTGTTCACTATGTCCACCATTTTCTTTAATTCATTTGTCAATAAATTCCATAAAATATCGTCTCATATTAAATAGCGTCATTGGTTCTAAAGAAACTGTTGCAGTATTTATTATAAGTGTTATAAGTATAATAATAAGTAATTTTTTGAAATGTTTATGAATTAAATAATTATATTAATATC